AAAACAAAAAAAAAAAAAAAAAAAAAAAAAAAAAAAAAAAAAGAAGAAGAAGAAGAAGAAGAATGGGACGTCCCTGTTTCCCATATGTTTGGAGTGAAGAAAATTTCCAGGGCTGCATGGAAGAGAAGGGGGCCCCCTCTCTAACAGACAAGAGGCTAGAAACAGGCAGTTGGTGAGAGACAGCTCTCCTCACTCTTCATGCTGAAACACCCACGTGTACAGTCACAGAGTGCTTTGACTGCCCTTTGCCATGTTGTATCTAAGCAGCTCTTAGATTGGTGAAGCCTTATCTTCAAGGGGAAACTAAGGCTGTGAATTTTTAGTCACATAGAGAACAAGTTTGTGGAGCTTCCTACTCAAATTTTTTGTTTCAGCTCTGGGGATGAAGCATAGAGCCTCACACATTCTAAACAAGGGCTGCCTCTGAGCTGCCCTAGCCTAGCAGAATTTCCCTCACCCTTTCCTCCTCTCCCTTATTATCTATTGGTGAGAGGCCAGCACCCAGCACTAGATTCAGGAGTCATTTCACTCCTCACAGGGATGATGGGGTTTGCATTGTTCAGGCTGTCTTGCTAAAGGCCCTGAAATGAGAGCGTTTCTTTACCTCCTGAAGTGAAAGTCAAAGCATTGTCCTGGGGCAGGGCCTCGGATGTGGGGTAGTCATAACCTCTCTTTCAAGATTCTCAGGTTAGAGCTGTAGTTCAGATGTTAGAATAATTGCCTAGCATATACAAAGCCCTAGGTTTGATCCTTGACACCATATCAAACCAGTTGTAGTGACATGTGCTTATAATCCCAGCACTTGCAAGATGGATGCAGAAGGCATACAAGTTTAAGGTCTTTGTCACTATATAATGGGCTACATGAGCTCCTGTCTCACAACAGGTAAAAATAAATAAATGAATAAAATTAATGACTTCAGCTCAGGTCCAAACAGTCCCTCTATTGTGCTGTCAAGAGGATGTCCAGCCCACTATCAAGAGGGGCATTCTGTCAGGACAAAGGAAGAATAATCTTTAGATGGACTTTGTTTCTGGACATCAAAGTTATGGGTGCTATGCATGCCTCTGTGATATGTGCGAGTCATTCCCCCTTCTTATTTCTGTTAGCTGGAGCCTGGCCTGCAGAATCATTACAGCAGTATTTGTAATGTGTAAAGTGACTTAAATCGTTCAGCCCTTCCTTTCAAGATTTATTTCCAGACTTTTCCCCTGTAATGTGAATCAGTTTCTCACAGCTGACATGAAGGCCTCATTTAAAAATTGAGGGTTGCACTGTAAAGTGGCTGCTAGCACAAACACCTTGGATATTTCTTAAATTGATTTTTAAAAGCTGGCTGAACTAATATGTCATGAGAGTTGTTTAAGGAAAGATGACAGCTATGACATGTAAACTCATAAATACATACATATATATGCTTTACTGTATTCATACAGGTAATATTTTCATGAGCATTTGTAGTCAAGATTCCAGCACCCAAATATTGAATAATCTGAAATAGGGCTGGGGCAATGGCTCAGTCAGTAAAGTACTTGCAATACAGCCATGAGGTTTGGAGTTTACATTCCCTAGCATCTATGTAAAAACAAAGTATGGCAGCATGTAGCTATAATCCCAGCCCTTGGGAGATGGAGACAGAGAAACTCCAGGGCTTAATGTCTAGCTAGTTTAGCTCAACTAGAGTGTGTCAAAATAAGGCTTACAAGGTGACTCGGGAAGTGAAGGTGCTTACCACCAAGTCTAATGACCTGAGGTCAATCCCTAGAACCTATTTCTTGGACAAAGAGAACTAACTCTTACAAGTTGTCCTCTGACCTCCACGCACGTGCCATACCACACATGGGGGTACCTGTGTGCACATATACATGCACACAAACAAACACACATATACACACAATAGATATAGGAAAAACTTTTTAAAGTTGGATAGCATTCAAGGAAGATGCTCAGCATTGACTCTGACCTCCATATATACATGCACACAAATGCATATACACCCACACATATACATAGACACACAAAAAAAAATCTTTGAAAAAAATCTGCATCTGTATTGAACCTATATAGACTTTTTCAATGTGATTACTCCATAAACAATATAGGCAAGAACCCCTTCCATAGCACTTGGGTTACATTAAATATAAGTTATCTAGAGATGATTGACAGTGGACAGGATATATGTAGGTCATGTACAGATTTAGTTTTATTCTATATAAGGAACCTAACTACAGATTTTGGTATCTTTGGGAAGGAGGAGTCCTGCAGATACTGAGAGATTATCCATTTGTATAGTTTGTTCATCTGTCCATGTATGCCTGTGCACAAACTTTTGGGCAGAATTGTCTTCACTTGCTCTGGGATCTGAAAGTACATGAGAAACCAAGCCTTTGGGATCTTTTATACAGATTCCAAGGTATAGATTGACCCAGCATTTGTTCTATCCAGTCAGGCCTGGAACCCTTGCCTTCTTGGTCTGAACCTTGGCTGAAGTCCCTACTTCTAGTTGTGTTTTGACTTCCTTAGGGTCTCTGGTATCCTGCCAGTCTCCAACCTCAAGGCTATCTTGTTTGGATTCCCCCGAGTGACACACTGTCAAGGCTGGTATAACTCTAGCCTGATGCCCAAGTCATATCATACTGCCTGTCACCTGTTCCACATGCTACAAACAAACTATGGTTCTGTTTGATTATAGCCCTTCTGGACCTCCCAATCCAGCCTACAACTGAAGTCCTAGGATTTGGTCTCAGCAACTCCTCCTCCCAGCACCTGCCTTTCCGTTTCTATGACCAGTGCCGCCGAGGCAGCAGTGACCCCACAGTGCAGCGCTCTGTGTTTGCATCCGTAGACAAGGTGCCAGGTAAGCCTGCCCTCCTGCTAGGGCCCTCAGGGTGCTTTCCTGATAGGCCTGCTGGAGGTCTTCCTCTCAGAATCCAGGCTGCTGGAAGCCCCAACTTCATAGAACACTAGTGAGCCACATACCCAAAATGCGGCCTCGGCTTTCCCTTCTTTCTTCCGTTACTTGGGTTTGGTTTTCCAGAGATTTGTTAGGTATGTGAAGAAAGTTCTCAGAATCAAGACTAAAAACTTTCTTGGAAATTTCTTGGAAATACTTGACTGGTTAGTAATGAGAGTTGTGGAGAGATGTCTTCCTTCTTGTAAGATGACTAGGATAGTGTGTGGTTCCTGGTACCCTGACAAGGGTAGACACGTGAGGAAGTCCCAATGCCCACAGGCCTTCTGCTTCTTCCGTCTGGGAGCAGCTCCTCCCACTTCCAACAGCACTGTCTCCAGCCCCCCTCCCCCCACCAAAAGGGAAACTTGAGTGGAAAGTTCTGCAAGAGCTGCTTCCTCAGAAGAGCAGCTTCTCCTTCCTGATGTATGGGCCTAAGTACATCCAGATTTAGCAGATCCCACAGGCAGGGTGGGGCAGGGCATGAATGGATCTCTTCTCTTGATTATAAAACATAGAAAACTGTACAGACTCTCCTCTACTCTTAACCCTTCCATATTCAGGGCTCAAACTTGAATTGCAAATATTAAATAATCTCAAAAGTGTGATTGTTGATGTTGGAACAAAAAGCCATGACAGCCTAACCCAAATCCAAGACCTTGTCCACCTGTGATTTAGTCTATGTTTATCCATGATTTTACTTATTTCATGTATACCATAATTATACAACTTTTTAAATCCAACAAGATCTGATAAAATGTAAAGTTGAGCCAGGCATGGTGGCCCCTTTAATCCCAGCACTAAAGAGGCAAAGGCAGAAGGATCTCTGAGTTTGAGGCCAGCCTGGTCTACAAAGTGAGTTCCAGGACAGCCAGGGCTACAGAAAGAAACCATATCTCAAA